GGACATCCCCTGAGGCGATCAGAGGAGGACTCAAGTTAGTTAACCCTTTTTCGGGGTCTCGGATCCAACAGCAACACCGCCAACCCCACAGCTGGTTTCAAACCAATACATACAGATAAATCCCTTGCAGAAGAACTCTGCACAGCCTTGGAGCTTATAGAGTATGTATCTCCAGACTCCAACACCCCCTAGTGGGCTAAAACACTCCTCCAGCACGCCATCTGTACACACACAGTCACAACTTTTAAACATTTACACATACTGGGAAAGGTGCAATCTCTTAAACACGTCCTCGGAGGTCAGGGTTACAGAGCATAACCACAGGGGAAGAAGCTTCTTTCTGATGCAGATCACCCCGTGTCCTTTTAGTAGAGTACCTCCTCCCAGGATTCAGATTCTCCAGCCTTTTTAGCCCACATCTCTGCTTGAGTTTGGTTGGTTTGTTTATTAGCAGGTTTCCCACTGTTACAGTTACAGCTACTACGGAGAAGGTTCCCACAGCCACCAGACTTTAGCAATGTATCTCCCAGCCTTGCTTTGAGCAAATCCAGATGGCACTGCATGACGAATGCTAGCAGACGTGGGAGCCTTATCTACACTCCGGCTCCCACCAGTAGAAATTTTTAATCAAAAGACACCTATTGTAGGCAATGCCCCTAGCGAAGTCACACTCCTTTCTCCACTCATGCAGAATTGCTTCCCTACAAAATAAGTCGGTTGTGGCCTTCGGAGAGTTTTGGGGCATTAAGAAGCAGTTTTGTGACCCAATTAGGCTTCAAGAAGGGGCACTTCAGCTGTGGACATTCACAGGAAAGGAAATAATCACGGAGATAAGAAAAAAGGGACGTGTATCAAGATTCTACAGCGGTGCCTGACAGAAGCCGCCACAAGTTACCGATTCATCCCCACAAAGATGTTACCATTAATAGATGAAGAGACTGTTCCCATAAGTTAGGCTCTTCTTTGTTTTGTTCTCAGCGACCTTTCCTTGAAAGTTCTTGGTACCAGCACTGCCATCAGCTCTGTTTTACGCTGGTTCTAGCTCAAATCCTCTAGGAAGCTACTCAGGGAGACGGTTTGGGACCAGCGCCTCAGAAAAGAGGTAAGGACACATCTGGAGCCATCTGAAGATGAAAAACATTCTGCTTCTCACGGAGAGAACGACCCAGGCACCCGTAAAATCGGAGCTCAGAAGAAAACTTGCCCACAGAGGCAAGTCTATGTACGGATTTCTACCATAAACCCAATCAATAAATCCTTGACGTCCAATGGCAAGCACTACCGCAGCGAGGAGGGGACTAAGTGTTTAAGGCAATTTCCCTCACCACCCAAGAAGATCAGAGCTACTGGCCTCCCCCTTTTCCTACATTTGCAAGAACCTTTCATCCCAGAGGAGCCTGGCAAGCCACACAGCAAGTACAGCTGCTATTTAGAGTTGTAGGGCAGGAAGCAGAGGAAAAATCTACAGGGATAGTCACCTTGGGACGAGGGACCACACCTGAGAGAGCTTACCACAGAGCTTTACTGGTAACTTCGTTCCTGTCTCCCCACCCTCCACCACACACAAACCTTGACAACTCTGGCCAAGCCAGAGACAGCGGGGTCCAGAGATATTGCTAGTACACAAAGGCCTACCGGACTTCTATTCTAACCGCCCCACTATTCGCTGTGCCCAAAAAGCAATCCCACTAACCAGCAAAATCGTTTACAGTGACTGTCCAGGAAATAGTTAAATAGGAGAGGACCTCTTGCCACTCCTGGAGACAGAAAAAAAAAACGGCAGTATCAAAGTATCCACAAAAAGAAAAGGAGTACTTGGGGCACACTTCATTCGATGAAGTGAGCTGTAGCTCACGAAAGCTTATGCTCCAATAAATTGGCTAGTCTCTAAGGTGCCACAAGTCCTCCTTTTCTTTTTGCAGATACAGACTAACATGGCTGCTCCTCTGAAAAGTATCCACAGCAACTCATGAGACAGACCTTGGGAAAGGAGAGGGGGTTCCCTTCTGCAGAAGCAAGGCACTAATGAAGTTTAGAATCGTGGCAAAGCCATCCCATGTGGGGAACGTTCTCATTTATACTCTGCGGCAAGTTCAATATCTGCTGGTTTGGGGGATACCTTGAGGTGTCTAGCACACAAAAGAGATTGTAACAGAAGCCAGCATTGAGAAAGAGTTGGGGTAATTGTGAGTCCTAGTCAAGGCACAGGCTCGCTGAAAAGTAGGGAAATTCTTAGGCATACTGTGTCCCTCAACCAAGTCACCCATTGCAATGGGGTTTGCCGTACTAGATCAGACTGCTGCTCTGTCAGGTCTAGTACCCTTCGCATGGCAGGAACCAATATTTAAGGCTACGTGCAGGTGCTTTTGCCTTCCTCTGATGCATTTAGCTAGGGATGTATAGTGGGGCTAGGGAGAATCCACTCCTGATCCCTGCTGTAACTGCATTTTGCCCTGAAACCTCAACTCAGTGAATCAAAGTTTCCTGTTACCTTTTTTTCACTCTCCTGTATGGTAAAGCCAGCCCAGCACATCAGGGGCTGTTCCCTGAGTCTGAGATTTCTTACCTAGAGTACAGGGTTTTTTTAAGTTCTGGATTTGTTGTTGGTGGTGATTGACTTAAGATGCCTAGGAAGGCAAGCAGACTGCACAGTGAGGTTCTGACAAGCTCAGTTTAAGAGGCATCCAAGTATTTATTACAAGCATTTTCTATTGGAAGAGCCTCCCAGGGGGTTAAAAGACCATGAGATGCAGTTAGTTATTTCACTTCTGTGGCATATCACAATCCCTGAAAAAACAGTCACTTGTAAATAAGAGTCTGCGGCTAAACACACAGCTCTGTACCAGGTTAGCATGCATATAGGCTAGAATAGCTTGACGTGCTAAATGCATAGAAAACAATCCACTCAAAGTCACAACAGAGAGGAGCACCTTCATCAGCACCACACACATAAAGCCAAGCAGGTATTCAAATTACAGGCGGCTTAGATCCCAGAGAAGGAGAAAGCCAGTGGATAAAGAGGAGATGTTTTGAGATCAACAAAAGCCTTCAGTCTTCTGCCACAGCAGACACCACGCTTTAGCTACAGAATTCGAAACAGTTCACTTTTATGGAGTAGAACAAGTCAGAACGAATATATAAAATAGGATAATAGTGACAAGACGGAGGAACATCCCATGTTAGAGCAGGAGATCAACTAGCTTCATGCAGGAAAGATGTTCTCATAACCCATTTTAATTGTTCTTCGCTACCGGGAAATCCTAGAAAGTATGGAGAAACATGCAGTCATGCTGTAATAGTCCGTGACAGCTAAAGCATCACACAAAGCAGGGGTAATCAGAGAGCATTCAGCCAAAATATTTATAAGCAATCAAAGGAAATCTCCTCTTGTACCCTACACTCAGTGGTAGCTTCTCCAGGGCCAGCCATTTCACAGGACTGCAGAAGACAGTTAAGTAGGAGTAGTGCCACCCAGCTTTGCAGGCTGATCCAATATGCTCCAAACCGGTCATTTGACAAGCCAGCAGGCAGCCTTGAGACCCTGCTACAGCTCTTTTCCCCCCTTCCAGAAAAAAAAAAAGTGTGCAAAAAGGCAAACATTAAAAAGCTCTAAAAGATAATGAAGCTATCAATTACAAGGGAGGGAAATCAAACCACGGCAACATGACAGCACTAAAGTGACTCCTGCAGGATCATTGCAAAGAACATTTCTGAAATCAAACTGGTTGGCAACTCGGTGACGAGGCGAGATCGTGCCACATAAAGAATGTCCTATATTTTACATCTGCAAGGGCAGAGGAGTCCTGCCCAAGAGGACAAGGGTAAAAGCCCCTTGGTAAGAGAGCAAACAAACCACTGTGCATTGTTGCGACAGGGAATGAAGGGGAGAAAAAGCTAGGAGGAAGTCTTTAAACTAAGGAAAGCAGGTACAGCTACAGGTATGCGAAAAGCCCAGAGGAACACACCTAAAAAGGCACAAGAGCTGTATCAAGTCAAATGCTCTCAACTCCTGAGCAAAAATGAATATAAATATAAATATTTCAGCCACAGTGAAAAGAGATAATGCCAGCTAATCTTCCCCTGAAACTGCACCCCACCAGGAGAGAGGACTTTAAGGGAGACGGGAGGGAAGGTAGCGGTGGGGGGGGGGGGAAGAAAGACAGACAGGGACCCCCAGAGAATTAGCTATGAGGGGTTGTGTATCATAGCCCCCACCACCACAGCTTCTGCCCCAGCCTTATTAACGCCTCAGTGCTTCACATGCCCTGGAGCAGTGGCAGGTACTTTGTTCCACACTCCCCCCCCAAACACCAGCCCGCCCTAGGGGTTGGGGGCACTGCCCACCAGCCAGCCCTCCCAGACGGCCCCAGCGGCTCGCTCCCACCGCCGCTTCTTAGCCCCAACTGCTGCCCCCCAGAGTCACTTCAGCAGCTCAGCCCTCCTCTGCTTCCTTCGATCCATCATCTCCCCCGCGTCCTCCGAGCTGATCCCAAACAGGAGGGCAAGTTCCCCGCCAGCCAGCCAGCCACACACACCCCCCAGGGGCAGGGCCGTGCCTCAGCTGCCCCCTCCCCACACCCAGAAATGCCCCCCTGCCCGCAAAGCGGAGCCCCTCGCCTTGCTCAGCCCCGTGTGGGGGCCAGAGGTGGCCCCATCCAACCTCTGCTCCTTCCTCGCGGGGGCCAGAGGCAGATCGGGCGTGTGCCCGGGTACCCACCCCGACCCCCCGCGCCCCCGTGCTCCCCTCCTCCCGGGGGCCGAAAGCAGCTGGCTTAGCCCAGCTCCCGGTCCCCCACGGAGCAGGGAGAAGTCCGCGAACTCCGCTCCGTGCGCCCTCCTCCCGGGAGGCGGCAGCTCCCCGCCTCGCCCTTCGGACCCGGTGCCCACCCCGCCGGTGCCAGGGCGAAGGCAACCCCGGGCCCCCCAGACCCTTGTCCCCTCCCGGCCTCCCATGCCCCGGGCAGCGACCCCCGGCGCCGAGGCGCCCCGCCCCGCCGCACCCAGGGTGAAGAAGGGCAGCTCCGTGTTGTCCAGATCGTCCTGCACCGCGATGCGCCCGGGCAGCTCGTTGCGGACGAAGAGCAGGAGTCGGGACTCGGCGGCGGGGCCGGGGCCCGAGGGGCCGGGGGCGGCGGCGCTGGCGGCCGGCGGGGAGCCGCGCCAGCTGATGTCGTTCTCGCGGAGCACGGGCAGGGTGGACACGGTGACCGTCTTCGCCCGGCACGGGCTGTCGGGCTCCCGCGAGGCGGACGAGCCGGGCCCGCTGGCCAGGAGCAGCAGCAGCGGCAGCAGCGGAGGCGGCGGCGGCGGCGGGCACCGGGAGGCGGCGGCGCGGAGCCGGCTGCGGCGCGGGGGAGCTGCCATGCCGGGCCGGGCTGGGGCGCTGGAGCCGGAGCCGGAGCCGGAGCGGGAGGCGCACGGAGAGCCGAGCGGGGCGAGCCGGCCGACTGAGCCTGCCGCTAGCGGCCCCTCCTCCGGCCGCCGCCGCGCCCCGCCCCCTGCCCGCCCCCGCGCCGCCCGGGACCCTCCCGGCCCGGGGCGCCGCTCGCCCCCGCCCCCTTCCGCCTGGCCCCGGGCCCTGCCCAGGGGTCCCGGGGGCTCCCAGAGCCTGCCCCCGCCCCGGAGCACCAGGGCCAGCCCCGCACCCCCCCCAGCTTCCCCCCGACTCCCCCACCCAGCCCCGGAGCACCAGGACCAGGCCCGCACCCCCACAGCTCCCCCCGACTCTCCCCCCCAGCCCCGGAGCACCAGGACCAGGCCCGCACCCCCACAGCTCCCCCCGACTCTCCCCCCCAGCCCCGGAGCACCAGGACCAGGCCCGCACCCCACAGCTCCCCCGACTCTCCCCCCAGCCCCGGAGCACCAGACCAGGCCCGCACCCCACAGCTCCCCCCGACTCTCCCCCCCCGCCCCGGAGCACCAGGACCAGGCCCGCACCCCCACAGCTCCCCCCGACTCTCCCCCCCAGCCCCGGAGCACCAGGACCAGGCCCGCACCCCCACAGCTCCCCCCGACTCTCCCCCCCCAGCCCCGGAGCACCAGGGCCAGCCCCGCACCTCCCCCCCCCCCACCACCAGCAGCAGCCCTGGAGCACCAGGGCCAGCCCCGCTCCCCCCCCCCAACTCCCCCCGACTCCCCCACCTAGCCCCGGAGCACCAGGACCAGGCCCGCACCCCCACAGCTCCCCCCGACTCTCCCCCCCCCCCAGCCCGGGAGCACCAGGGCCAGCCCCGCACCCCCCCAGCTCCCCCCCGCCCCACCACCACCACCACCACCACCACCACCCCCGCCTGGAGCACCAGGGCCAGCCCCGCACCCTCCCAGCTCCCCTCCCTCGCCCTGGAGCACCAGGACCAGGCCCGCACCCTCCCAGCTCCCCCCGCCAGCCCTGGAGCACCAGAGCCAGCCCCTCACCTTCCCAGCTCCCCCTCTCCCAGCCCCGCCCCCACAGACCCTCCCGGCTGTTCCGCAGCCTCCTCCTGGCTGCTCATTCCCAGCGCTCCAGCCCTCCCCTAATCCCAGGAATCCCCACTGCCCTTCCCATCACCTTTCTAGCCTTCTTCCTAGGGGGAACTCTCTTTCGGTCTTCTCCATCCAAGCTCCCCTTCTCTTTCTTCATTTACCACCATAACGCCATGCCCTTCTTCATCCAAACCTTCTCCCCAGCACGCCCTTTCGTGCCCCCCCCCCCCCCGTTTCAGCCCACTTTTCTTTTCTCAGAACTACTTCACCTTCCCAGAACTAGCTTCAGGGATGGTTCTTTCCCTCCTTTCTAAAGGAAGTAGACTAAGGAAAGTCTAAGTCTTTCGCTTCTGAGTGTTCCTGTCTTCCTAAACCATATAATTCCTGCATCTCCCTTCCTCTGGTCTCTATCCCATCCCTCCACTGCAGTTCATCACTCCCTCTAATTTTCACTTCAGCCAAAACCTTTCATTCCACACTGCCTTCTTATTTTCTTCCACTAACCCAACCCAGTTTTCCACCCCCTTCTTTTCTCCAGTTCTATCCCCCTAGTGCAGGGGTGGCCAACCTGGGGCTCCGGAGCCACATGTGGCCCTTCAGAAGTTAATATGCGGCTCCTTGTCTAGGCACCAACTTTCCAATGTGCTGGGGGGGTGCTTGCTGCTCAACCCCTGGCTCTGCCACAGGCCCTGCCCCCATGCCACCCCTTCCCACCTCCTCCCCTCAGCCTGCCATGCCCTTGCTCCTCCCCTCTGCACCCAGAGCCTCCTGCATGCCACGAAACAGCTGATCAGGAGGTGCGGGGAGGTGCTGATCGGTGGGGCTGCCGGTGGGTGGGAGGCAGTGGGAGCGGGGATGGGAGGGGAGCTGATGATGTATTACTGTGGCTTTTTGGCAATGTACATTGGTAAATTCTGGCTCCTTTCAGGCTCAGATTGGCCACCCATGCCCTAGGTCTTTTCTCCAGCTTTCCCTCCATTGCCTGACAATTATTATTCCATTCAATCTCTAACTTCTTTCATCTTCCATGATGTCATCCCCACAGCTTCTTTCCCTCCTACCTACCACCTTAATTCACCCCATCTTCCCTTTAATTGCTTCCTGAATCTAAATTTAAACCTTCCTTCAATTAGTCTGGTTCAATCCTCATTTCCCCCAATCCATTAAACCACTTTCTTTCTCTTTAGCTCATTTACTTTAACCCCACTCTTTTTCACTTTATTGAGCAAAAATCCCTCAACACCTCTTCCAGTAAGTCTCGGGGAGACAGTTCCATGGCTGATGTAATGCCACGGACCGGTACCTACTCTTCTTGTCTGTTGCTCCAGTCCATCCACCAGTTCATTTATCAGACCGCTTTCTTACCAGCTGCTTTTTCTGCTTTCAGTCATTCTGTCCTTAACCCAGCCTTGTCTCTTACTAACTCAGTTTTGCTTCTATCTTTCGCGTTCTCTCACTGCCTTTAGCAGCCTTCCAGTTCTCCCTCCACCTGCTCGCATGTTAATCTTTCTGATTAGCTCTTTGTTCTCTTACCCTTCCACTCAGTGGCTTTTTCTCTCCTTCTCTTTCCCTCTATTATTAAGTTCTTCTTATGTCTATACTGCCTTTTGCATCTAATTTCTTCCTCTGTCTTATTCATGGAGTCCAGGCCTCTCTTCCACATCTCTCTCCTTTCTGGAAATGGTACCTAGTTCCTTGCTGGATATACCCACAGGCTAGTCATTCCTGTTAGACAATTGGCTCTATGCAATAACACAGAAGAGTGCTTTGTGTGAGATTTTGCTGGTTATTACTATTTTATGGGTAGATGGGCAAGTCCCTAGACAGAAGAAGAGATTGCCTATAATGAGCTTAGTTCAGGCAAACTTGAGACTGAAGGCCTTGGAAGAAACTTTTCAACAGTGCAGAAGTATTCACAATACCATAAACCAGCTTTATAATAAAAATTAGCTAGCACTACAAAAGGGAAATGTGATCACATACCTTGTCTTCATCAATATAGAAAAGAGAGAAGGAAAAACCCAACCACTCACCAGTTGGAAGAAGCACCAGCTACCCACAAAATGGCCCCTTTAGAGCACCCAGCTGCTTGGCGCTGCCTAGTTTAAAGGGCCAGCCCCAGAAAGGCATGCTGGGAAAAAAGTTTTTATAAGAAAGTCACCTCATTATAAGGTAACATAGTAAAAACTCTGTAGTTCTAGGGGAAGGTGTTATTTAGAAAGGGGGGTGGTGGTGTTGAGGTGTATATAACGTAGAAAACAAAAGATTAGAGCAGCTATGGAGACTGAATTTTTCCTCACTTCCAGTAATGATGCCCTAGCTTCTCCTGCAAAAGGATGAGATGTGGAAACTAATACCACTGATAACTGTGCAATACTCACTGAATTCTGATAGTGAAAGGGGGCTGAAATGGCAAGGTCATGCTGGTAAAAGGTGACTAAGTCCAAATTTTTTAAAGAACGGTGAAAGTCCCTTCAACTAGGGCTTATTTCAGTTCAGGCACTCACAATTGTTTCAGGATATTTCTAGCATGTCCCTCTTTCTGTAACTTTTCACTACAAAACCCAAACTTCCTGTGGTGAAACTTGGAGCCAGACTGCTTCTGAACAGGCTTCATCTATGGGGCAAGAAATTATTTTGGCCGCTAGTGCTAGGAATGAAGCCGTTGTTGGCTTTCCTGGCCCATAAGGTGGTAGCTCTCTCATATCAGTACCATACCACATAGAGACCTGTAGCATGATCTGGATTGTCTGTGGAGTGCCCAACACAGGGGTTTTTGGTTAGCTCTTAATTGGCTGGGTGCAGTTTAGCTGTAGGTCTGACCAATCAAAAATAAAGTTACAGTTGTACTTAAGTTCTCTCTGTTCTCTTGTTCACAATCGAGCCATGAGAGCTACATGTTGTAGGGATGAGAACAGCAAACTGGACAGTAGGAAATTTGGCTTCCGTTACCAGCTTTGCTACTAAATATGTGACCTTGAATAAGGCATGCGACCGTAGTATGCTTCAGATTCTCCACCTGTGAAGTGCAGCTGCTACCTTTGATCAGCATTTCTTTGGATGAAAGGTGCTACTGTATGTACGTGCAGGTGGTCAGCTGTCTTCTAACTGCTTTCTTTAAAGAGACACTGTGGCTCTTTAAGTCCAAAGCCCAAAAAGTGTAAACGCAAAATCTCTATGAAACCATTTACATCAATAAAAACATTTCCATGGCTCAATTCTTTGCTCTGCCACAGATTTCCTGTCTGAGCTTGGGCAAATCACTTACCCTCTCTGTGCCTCAGTTTCCCATCTGTAGGAGATAATGGCACTGTCCTGCCTCACAGGGGTATTGTGAGGATAAGTGTGTTAAAGATTGTAATGTGCTTTCAGATTGACTGATGAAAACTGCTACATAAGAGCTAGGTATTATTGTTTTAAACAAGTGTAAGTGACTTCATGGATTCCTGTTGACCAAAATGAGCACCACTCAAAAGAGAAACAGAGCCTGGGTAGCATGAAGAAAATGGGATTTAAAAAAAAAAAACAAAAAAACCTTTCACTTAATAATAATGTCCTAGTGACAGTTATTTATGGAAGTTTGCTTACAATGTGGTTTTTTTACACTGTGTTTGCTTTAAGCCAGGTGCATTTACGTACTGAAAGCTGAAGGTTTCAGAAACTAATTGGCGCTCCAGTATAGTGCATGACCCAGATGTGTTTCAACCCTAAATTAGGTCCCAGCCTTAATTGAAAGGGTTCCATGTAGTCTCCAGGGCCCCCGACCCTTTTCTCTTTGAAATCAGTGGCAGTTTTTACTTTAACAGCATCAAGATCAGGTCTGCCACATAAAGCCCCAACAGAAGTGGCCACCTCTGTTCAAGAAAAGCCCAGGAGTGAAACAGTAGAGAATATTGCAAGTAAAGTACAAGTTACAG